GCTGAACGGAAAAGACTCCTCCTTCTCCGGCTGCTGCCGCCGCACCATCATCATCCACTCAGAGTACCACTGGTCAGCGCGCACACAGACTTTGTAGCTTGTCCGGTCAGTTAAAAATAGTAATTGTGAAATCCGTCTTGTAATCGGAAGCATACAAGCTAGTTAGCTTGAAAAGTAAATAAAGTTTCAGACGTGCTGCGTGATGATGTGTTAAGATTGGCTCAGTAAAATGACAATTAGGTTATCATGATGCGTTCAAGTGTAACGTAAAGAAAACGGGAAATTTAGTTTTTGGCGAGAAACATGAGTAATACAGTTGTATATTGCTCTATATATAATTAAACTACTGATGCCAACATTTATTAAAAATTACATTTAATTTAAAATACAATTATTTATTTGTTAAATATTTTCTTAATCACTAAAAACATGATGAAAAGTGACAGTAGACAATACATTAACCAACAATTGTGAAAATATATTCTAGTTAGTTTTATGTCATTTCGAAGTGGCCTATTACATTAGCCATGTTAAATGAAGGCTAGAAACCTTTTTGTTATGCTCACTTGTTAAGCAATAAAAGCAATACCAGTTCTGTTAAAAAAATTTAGTTTTTTTCGTCTTTCCACCAAATAACAGAAAAGTATCGATAGTGGTATCGATAAAGACTCGGATCGATAAGGAGTATCGATAAAGGTATCGATGTGAATAAATATTAACGATCCCCATCCCTAGTCACACCCTCCAGAGAAGGACAGATGAGAGGACCCAGAGCCCAAACCCCAAGGAGCCCAGTTCCTTAGCAGCGATAGGTATGATCTGTAACCATCAAAAATGAAAATGGAATAGAAACACTACAGAAATTCATTTCAAGTGTGACAAAAAGGAGTAGACAGAGGACACAAGACTAAATACATGAAAAGAACAAACTTGAAAAGTTAAGCTGTCCAACAGAAGAGGAAAAAGGACATCTTAGGAAAACTAATGTAAAGTTGTTTAAAAAAAAAAAGACATTCAGTCAAAAAAAGTTAAAAGAGAGAAAAAGTATTAGTATTGATCAAAAGTGTTAAAAATGTCATTAACACATATTTAATGGATTAGGAATATGCAAATCATTCTGGATCAGATCTAGCCTGGCCAGTCAGACTGGCTTTCATAGGGGAATAAGTCAGTCGGGTTAGGCTTAACACTCTCTTGTCTAAAACCAACTGAGCCAATCACAGTATGGGAGGAGGGCTCACATTGAGAAAGCAGTTTTCTATAATCATACAGTAACTGTCACTATTGCAGCTGCAATGGAGCTGTGTTTTGGTTGTTGTTCATTACGTCCCAAAAGAACTGTATATATCTAGAATTACAACGCCTTTGTGTCACATCTGCAGTTATCTGATGGTTGCTGCTAACTTTGTTAGTTATCAGGATCTACCTACAGGTTTCCAAATTGACATGTTGTGTAAACAGCATAGATCAGATCAAGGACTACTGACGCAAGTAGCAGGTTAAAAAACATTTAGGTTGGCAGCAGCAATGATTATAAAGTCTAGAAGCAGCTTGGAGGAGGGATCTGAACAAACGCTACTTTGTGGCTCTAGGATGCAAAAGTTGTCAAATGAGCTCTCAAGCTCTAGATTGTAATAACATGACAGTGCTGTAAATGTTCTTACTGTCCTTCTTTCCCCAATCATTAATTCAACACTTTTTTAGTAGTACCCCCTATATGCCTTGAAACACACAAATAGCATGTCTGATAGCCTCCCCTGAGTTGATAGAAGCATTTCTGCATTAACTTGTCAGTAGCATGAATAAAGTAAAGCTTGTGATTTGTCAGAAGGCTGAGACTGAAAAAAGGAGGAAAATAATAACAGAATTTCAGAGCTCTTCATTTTTAGTCTCCACCAGTGTTGACAGATTTGCTGAGAGTGCAGTCACATTTTCTTTAAAATGACTTATGGTTACAAATGCTAGTGAAAATAAAATTGATACCACAACACCATTGTATACTCTGTCAGCCTATGTCTGTTCTAACAAATACTTTTCTTTTCTGTCATCTTTCTGAATGCTCACCCAGCAGCACAAGTGATTGTTTTCTCTTATTGTGATTTACCTCAGTTAGGGGTGGTGTTACTTTAAAGCGCTTCTCCCCTTGAAGAGGTTAAGGTTAGAGAAAAGCCTAACATATCCTTTTTGTGAGGTAACACCATCAAATGCACTGTGACATTATCTGCAACCCTCACGGATGATGTCACACTACTTTATCACCTGGTAATGAAAGTGTGAGCTTTCAGGCAGACATAGGTCCATTAGTTGTTGGTCAGATGAGCGCATTTGATCTAGCTTTCATATATCCCAGTGACCTGAACCAGTTTATGAGCGCATTACAGATAAATCTACTTTTATTGTACAAGAAGAGCATTACATTCACTGTATGTTTTAGCTTAAAACCGTAAGATAAGCTACTATAAAGATCTTCAAAGTTCTTTTTTTTTCTTTTTCAATGTGCTGTATTTTAGAGAGATAGAACGGACAGCATGTCACTTTTGATTTTGGAGAAAATGGGCACATCGTCGCTCCAGCTCTTGACACAGTGACACTCAGACAATCTTTTTTACTTTTAGGCTAGTGTTTTTTGCTCTTAGTGTCTGACATTGCAGAGGGGTTTACAGTACAGCCTATCTTTCACTCTCCCTCGTTATTGTCATTATAATTCTCTCTCTCCTTGTCCCTCACGCCTTCTTTTATCATTTCTTTCTCTTTTCTCGCTTTGACTTTTTTGCGGTGTTACCTTTTTGTCTGTCAGAATAATCTTCCTCCCATGCTGAAGTTGCATTGTCACTTTGTGTGGCAGGTCTTTGAATCCTGTGCAGCTGAACAAAGGCAGAGCTCTGCCCCATCTCATCTGATTGTCTACCCTTTCTTATCATCACTGCCTTATTACAGACTTGATAGTGAGCTTTTAGATTTTCCTGCACATTTCTCATACATTTATTCTTTTATGTGATCTACAACAGAAGTCCCCTTCCGTTCTTTAATGCCATTTATAAAATATATATTCATTTAACTGGTTAAAAATTTTATTTTTATAAAGTAAATCCCTTAATATCCACTGGAATATCTCTTTTGTGGTTCATCTTTGCACATCTAAAAAAGTTTTTTTTTCTTTTATCTAATTATTATTTAGAAAGTAGCTCATTCTCAGCCAGATTGGATTTTGCTGCATTTTCTTAAGTGAATTTAAGTTTGGTTTGTTTTAACACCGGAACATTATTTGCTTTCCTCAAATCCATTGTAGCTCTCTGGCTGTTCAGAGGGATTTTCTAGTCTAAAGAGGAGACCTCCCACCAGTCCAGTATTTTGCAAACTCTTAACAGGTTCCCTTCAGTATTGGTCAGTATTCTGTAAAAATCTTGCTGTTCAATTATTTATCGATTAATCAAAAATGTAATGGACAAATTAATTGATCAGCAAAACAATAATTTTTGCAGCCCTGCTATCAAGCCCTCAGAAAACCGCTTTGTTTTTACTAAAACAAAAGAAGCACACTCTGTTTATTAATTAGGTAACTTAACTTAGCACTATCTTAATAATGGAGATGAATAACGTATGTAAACAACACTTTAACATTTGAATGTTTAAAAATCATTTATGTCTAGTATTTGAGCTTGTTAATAACTATATTATGTTTATGGATTAATAGTCTTCCTTTGTGCCCTTTATTTGTTCTGCTTTTTAATGCCTGTTCCTCTGAAAAAAGTAAAACTCTTCACCATTTTCACTGAAGTCATAAAAGGGAGGATGGGGTTAACTCATCCTTATCAATAGAAATCATTTTAGTTGCTTAACAGAAGAAAGAGTTCATGTTCCAATACTGTCTCTGACAGATGTTTGTGAATGAAGCAAGAAAAGAGCAGGGAGGGAATAAAATCGAGTATTTACAAAAGAAAAACTGGTTTTCGAGATTGAAAGGTGATCTGTAAGAAATGTGGGTTTAAAGAAAGAAAAAAAGACTCAGAAAGTCAGAGGCGGTCTGTTATAAAAGGAGACATGGAAGAGCACAATGCGATGAATCTGTGTTAGACAGATGGAAGTGGGGTGGGTGACAGAACATGGATGTGTGAGAATCTGAGAGAATAACTGGTGAGATATGGATGAGAACATGGCAGGAAAGGTGCGAGATTGTGTAACTCGATACTATTCTACTCTGTGCCTCATGAGGCTGTGCTGAACTGAAAGGACGCATATAGTGACTTAATCAATACAAGTTGAAGATTGTAGAAGCTGAGGATGATTGGAGCCCAAAAACCAGAGACAGCATCAATGTGAAACAATATTTCCAAACATCTTGGTGCAGCCAGAAACCTCTCTCTTTATCCTTGGTCACTACATGGCTGGGCAGCATACACAAATGTGGCTTTACGAGCGCACACATGCCCAGACAGTTCTATTCAGCAATTGTATGGAGGCCCCTCGAACATTGTGGTGACAACCGCTGCAAAGTCGGGCTTAATAGAAACTCACTGCAGTCCTCAATAGAAAGGGAATCCCTACATAACACGGTCAAGAGCCTGCAGGTTCAAAACATGCTAAGCAGACATCATTTGAGCGAGTAGCTAGTGAGGACCAGGTGGACAATTTTATCACAATAATGCTGGGCTCCTTAGATGTCCTCTATAGCGTCCTCATCCAGAAGGTAACGCTGAAGATGTGTGGACACTCACCTCCTTAACCATTTTTATGCTCTTTAGAATCAGAAGGCTTTTTAATTTACGTCAGGGTTAAAGGTATAGAAATAGCTGAAGTGTTTCACTACAGATGAAAATATCTTATTCTGGGAGCATGTTTTCCATGAACTCATGTTCCCACTGGTTTTAAATTCAGAGTTGCAATGTAGGAAGTGTTTAGACAACATATATGAAAATAGAGTTGTGAGCTATTTTGTGAGAGATTCATGATAAGGCTGTCTTATAATGAAATAAAATGCTGTTTTATGTATGTTTTTACAGCTGATGGCGGTATACGAGGAGCAGGAAGCCCAGCAGAGGGGTGTGACTGACTCGAGCCTGACCCCGAGTCCTGACCTGCACCAGGCGGAGCCCTCTGTTTTCCAACCAGTCACAGGAGGAGAGATTGAAGTCAATTCTTCAGCACTCAAATCTAGTAAGTTTGTCTCTAGTTTTCGATATTTATGTTTGTGTTGTCTTGTTATGTGTTTTTTTTATTGCAAGTATATTAAACAAATAAAGTGTCTAGGATAGTTATCCTGCGATGGACTGGCGACCTGTCCAGGGTGTACCCCGCCTCTCGCCCATTGAATGCTGGAGATAGGCACCAGCACCCCTCGCGACCCCACTCAGGACAAGCGTGTCATATAATATATGGATGGATTGATAGTTATCAACATTTCATTGCTTCTGGTCTAGCTTTTCAAGAGATCGGAGTCTACCATTCGTTATATCTCAACATTAAGAGTAAATGTTGTTATGCCAACTTCTTGCAGCTAAAGGCAGAAATTTCCTAAATCTTGTATTAAAGGAGTTTTATAAACATCGTAGAAACTAATTATCATAAGTCTTTACAGCCATCTGTTTAGGGCACTCTTGGAAGTTTTTTAATTCTTTCACTGATTTATATTGATCTCAAAAGTCTACTCTATCATTCCAAATTAGGTAATATGTCATGAAATTGGTTTTGGCCATACCTTCCAGCACTATTTGCAATCAGATGAGATGGTATTGAAAAAAAGAAAATCCAATTGTAAAAAAATGCCATAGATATTTTTAAGTAAGAAAAAAAAACTATAAAATGTTAAAAAATAAGGGTAAAACAAAAATATAACAATAAATCTTTTTTATTTAGGAGTAATAAAAAAAAAACTTAGAATATAAATTCTTGTGATCTCATATGTTAATCCTTTCGTAATCACTTTTTTTAAGAACAACCGTTTGATTTCTGTCATGTTCCTCTGATCATGGGTGCTTCCTGCAATTCTTCAAAATGAATGGAAATATGCTGCTAATTTGAATTCAAACAGTTCCATTGTTTTCAACTCATACTGTAGGTCCATTTGACTGATTATGTTAATGCAAAAATAAAACAACAAAAGCTTTTGTAAAATGTGTTCAACTATCTTCAGTTTGTTTTGCCTTTATTTAGAATATGAATACAGCAAAAAATGCAAATATTTTAGTTGCTTTTCAAAGGCTGCTAGGTTAGTTTTAGAGCCTTTTTCCTATACAGTGTAATACTGTTAAACTGTGATTTCCAAGGCAGCCAAAGGTCAAGATTTGATGGGTGGGACAGTAATGAAGGCAAGATAGCAGAGGCCAGGAGGTTGGAAGCAGTGGCATTGAAATGCGGGCCAAAGAGAGTTAGACGAGGATAGGAAGACAGGAAGTGCGTGTGTTCTGTCAGGCGTTAGACCAAAAACTGGTGTTTATGTCTGCTCTGTGTTACCTGGACCAGACCTTTCTGCATGACCTTTATTCTCTCACTCCGTCTGTCTCTCTACTGTTTTCTCCATATCTTTTTTCATAGTTCTCTGTCCTATTTCAAGTCAAGCGCTTGTTCACTGGTGTTACTGTATGTGCTTGTGAGAGTGCTGGAAAGTGTCACTCTCATGTGGACAAATGTAACTTTAGTTTAATAGAGGAAACCACATTTATCAGGGACTGTGTGTCCTTACAGCCAGCCAAAGCAGATTATTTCACCTCATTATTATTATAAAGTTACTTTTTATCTATGTTGATAAATAATTATTTACCTTTAGTTTAGATTAAAGATCTAGTGTTTATGGAAAAAGACTGAATGGTCACATTTATATGAGCCTTAATGTTTTTAAACTGAATAAGGGTTTAAGTGTTTAATACTGATGACAACCTTCCTAACTCACAAGAGGGGTTTTGGTTGGATTGTTCAGACGGGAAGTTTAGTCTGTTTCAGTACAATCACCCATCAGCAAAGATGTGGGGTGATATGTATCTGTAACAGAACCCTGGAGTCTGTCACAGTGTTAGTGTAAGGAAGGTCATAGAAAGGCCTCTTTAACTGTCTGTTGTTTGGACTTTCAGTCCCAGTTGGCTCTTTCTATCCATCTTCAACAGCTTGTTAGATGCTCCTCATAATTTCTCTTTCTGACAGTCAAATATTGTCTTTTTAAATCTCATTATTAATTTTCATTCCCGTCTTACTCTAAATTTTATACTTCTCACTAAATGTCTGGACATTTCTTGCCCAGAACTGTTTTTATTTTTTCTTTTATTTAAGGCTTGCAGTTTTTATTTATCTTCCTTTTGTCCAAGTTCTCTAAAGTTGTTTTTTTTCCTGATTTAGTTGGCAGCTCTAAATGAAGTCATGTCTTTCAACAGTAGATGCTGATACATAGAAAATCTGCATCTCTTTTAGGGGAATTAGGGGCAGGAGAATTGAAGAAAGTCATCTTAAAAACAATTCCTGAAACAAATGTTCTAATTTTTGCCTATCATTGTCCATCATACCATCTTCCTGTAATTGTCTTTCTATGCCGAGATGAATCGATTAAAGGTTTGATGTAATCCATATCCCCCAGTAGTTCTTAGGAGCACCAAGGGTCCATTTGTCACGATCAATATATGACCCTACAAATATCATTTGGTATGTCTTCAGAGTACTTTAACCATATAGAGTCCCCTCCACCCTCACTGCCACCTTTGCCATTCTATTCCCAGTTGAGCTATAGGCGAGTACATGACAGTGTTCCTAACGTATACCTATAGATTGATGCTCCCTTTAAGGGGGGGATGGCGGGTTCTCAGAGTGTACCACACGTATCATAATAAAACCCACAGCATATTAAATCTTATTTATTTGCTTAGCTTTCTGCAGTGTTGACTTTCCTCTCATTTTCCCTCTTCCCCCAAGTCCCATCAGCAGCACAAGCAGCAGCGTGGTGTGTTCCATTTATCAGTTTATGGTAAATGATGATTTTATGCAGAGGGCCGATGAGATGTGAAGAAAAGAGCCATTATCATCTGTTACCTACTTGCGCACACAAATCTACAAATCAGCCACTTATTGGCCATTTGGAGGCATGAACAACAGTGTGTTTGCCGATGGGATGTGAGGAGATAATACATTAACTTCTCACACTTCCCGCAAATTGTCACCTCTGCAGAATCAGCTGTCAGAACATTCGGTGTGAGACTGTGGGAGCAGTATGTTACTTATACATGAGGACATACATATACAAATTTAGAAGCCTGTTAGGTTGATCTAACTGCTGTAGTTAGAAAGAGGTTAAGAAAGGAAAAAAAATTATCTATACTTTCTTTTTTTTTGAACTCGTGGAACATTCCTCTAAATAATTCAGTAATTACCAAGTAAAATATGTTAGATGTTCTATAATATACTTTTTTCTATTTACTTTCTATGTACCTAGTTTAATAAAGTAACTTTTAATATACAAGTTTTGCCCTGAAATACAAACGAATAATTTGCCTCGCAATTTTTTGCTTTTGTTTTTCAGACACACCCCTTCTGGTGAGGAGTAGCAGTGACTCAGCCCTCAGCCCGCAATCAACAGATACCGAGCCCTCCTACAGCGAGGATAGCAGCAACATGGTAAGACGGTGAAGCTGTTGTAATAAAACGGAAAATATCAATGAACATAAAACTCTCTACATGCTTCACATTAAATTAGAATTGTTCATAAATAAGAACCCCTGCAGCCATGTTGGGGTGTCTAATTAACTCCAACAAATGTTCAATTATTTGCATATGAATGCACAAAAATAGGCGATAAATGTTTTGTTTGGTATATAATGCATAATAAAATCGGCTATAAGAAGGAGTCGTTTTATACTGTATAACAAGGCACTAAATAACTTCAATGGCTCCAATAAAGCCTTAGTACTTCCAACAATCACAGATCTAAAAAGTCATCCATTTTTCCTAAAGCTTCTGAGATAATCTTTGATATTTACCTTTACGCATTTTCGCAGAATGCTTTTTTTTTTTCTTTTATTACTATATAGTAGTTCTGACAGTTGTTTAAAGGATTAGGTGGGTTTTTCAAAATGTATTTTCTTGAAGTTCTTATCAGCACTAGCTCTCTCGCCTGTCGTAAATGGATGTGGTTTGCAGCCTCTTTCTAGCAATTAAAAAATATTCTTTGTGTGATAGTAATTTAATATTTAGTCAGAGGTTGAGTGTTTTCAGTTTATTTTAACCATATAAACCAACAAACAGGCTCCCCTAACCACACTGCTAAAAAAAAGGGAACATGTAAACAACACAATTTAATTTCAATTAAATCTTCTGTGAAAAACTTTCCATTTAGGATGTAACATTGATTGACAACCAATTTCACATGCTCTTGTGCAAATGGAGTAGACAACAGGTGGATATGATGATTAGACACACCTAATGAAGGAGTGGTTCTGCATATAGGGACCACAGAACACCTGCTTGTGCTTTCTGGCTGATGTTTTGGTAACTTTTGAATGTTAGTTGTGCTGTGACACTAATGGTAGCATGAGAAGGACTCTACAACCCACATCAATGTGAGCTGTAGCAGGAAGGTTTGCTGTCTGTCAAATATGGATGTGTCTGCACTAACGGTTAGAAACTGACTCCATGAGGATGGTATGAGGGCCCATCGTTCACAGATGGGGGTCGTGCTCACAACCCAACACTGTTCAGGACGATTGAGATTTGCCAGAGAACACCAGGATTGGCCAATTATCCACCCGGTGCTGTTCACAGAGGAATGCAGGTTCACGCTGAGCACGTTACAGACGTGACAGAGTCTGGTGACACCGTGGAGAGCGATCAGCTGCCTGCAACATCCTTCAGCCTGACCAGTGTGGCAGTGGCTCAGTAATGGTGTCGGATGGCATTTCTTTGGAGGGCTGCACAGTCCTTGCCAAAAGGAGTACGGCTGCCATTAGGAACCGAGAGATCCTCAGACTCCAACCTGAATCAGGTTGAGCACATCTGGGACATCTTATCTTGAACCGTTCACCAACGTCACGTTGCACCCCAGACTGTCAAGGAGTTCCCAACTCATCAGGAGCATGCCTATACGCTGTAGGGCGATCATACAAGCCTCATTTTGAGCTGTTTTAAGGACATTACATCAAAGTTGCATCAGCCAGTAATTTGGTGTGTGACTACAAATCCAGGCCTCTATTTGGTTAATATATTTGATTTCCATTGATGTTTTTTAGTATGATTAATTTTTTTTTTTGTCAGCACATTCAACTTTGTCCAGAATTAAATATGAAAGAATATTTCATTCATTCAGATCTGGGGTGTATTATTTAATTGTGCCCTTTATTTTTGAGCAGTGTATATTCATTCTTTTTAAGGTTCCTTCAAACTAGATTTTAGTATTATATTTGTCTGTTTTTCAGTTTTTAGAAACCCTTTTTTTAAAATATTGATTTACTTTGATATATAATCATGGTCAGACCGTACTCTCTTCAGTGCTTTTGTAATCTAATACACAGATAGTGATTAAAAATGCTAAGCACATTAAGATTCTCAGGGGGATAAACACTTTGATTTGACCTCTGCCCTTTTACTTTAAAATATTTCACTTCTCACTTGCAAAGTTTTCAGCAGTCCTTTTGTTCAGCTGAGGAAAGTTGTTTTTTGTTGATCAGCTCCATTGGGTATTTATTTATTTCAGTTTAAATAAAGAAAAAGAAGAAACAACTAATCAAAGTCCTATACTGCCATAGATGAAAGCTCTTTCAGCTGTGCTAAACCTTGTTATTGCATTATCAGGTTCTTCTGCAGCCAGAAAAACTTATATCCCCTTAAAACATGTTTTTTTAGTTCTTCACGTTAGTCTCAGTTGTTTTAATTGATGTGACAGCTAACAAGATCCCATATTATCATGAGCATAAGACCACATTATGTCCAAATATATTACAAATAACTATATGAAAATGTGAAATTAGTTTGTATTCACTCCCCTTGCTTTCACACTCTTACATCTATTAAAATCTAAGGAATGTTATTTATCTTGTGTTTGTAATATAACTTTTGAAAAATAAATTAACATAAAAAATCCAAACAGCAAGAATACATTCAGTGTAACCTAGCAGCGTAGTGTAACTACCATGAATTCATTGGTCCAGCCAAACAACAGGATTTTAATTAAAAAGTGGTAAAAAGAAACAGGTCAGTAGTTTGGCCTTTTTGTGCGTCAGTGGGTATACAGTAAGGGGTTAAAAAGAGGAGGTAAATAATGCTGTTGGTTTCCTGTCCTTTCTTCTTCAGACACATTTTGCCACATCAGTCTCCATTAATGAAGATGAATGACTCTCAAGAGTTTCCCCTTCTGACTTTTAAGGCCATCTTTTATTTTCTCAAAGGTCATAGGTCACAGTTGTCTGTTAGCTCAATCTGGTCCCTCCATCCTGCTGCTGATCTCAGTTACATTTCTATGCTAGTGTGTAACAAGATGTCATTCTTTATAATGGCTGATATCTTAAAAAAAAAAAAAAAAAATTTAAAGTTCATGTAGGACTTATTTATTTTCATAACGAAGTACAATTTTACCAAAAACGTTACATTTCTTAGCATGATCTCTAAAAAAACGTTTTTTGTTTAACAGCATTTTACATCACATTCAGATAGTCATTCCTGCTTTAGCTCTCTGAGGAGAGTAGGGAATTAACGTATGGAACAGACTCATAATAAATTTTTTTTAGAACTTTGAGATTGAGTTTATTGATCATAAACATGGTCAAATGTGGTATATGTGGGGGCTGCACAAACTCTGCTGAATTATGTTGAGAGAAAACCGTTTTTTCTGTTGTAATTTGTTTTCAAGTCCAAAATCTCTCAGAAAGTTGGCAGCTCTGATCAAGTTTGGGCATTGAGGAGACTGGTTTACAGGTGCTGGTCATAAAATTAGAATATCATGAAAAAGTAGATTGATTTCAGTAATTCCATTTAAAAAGTGAAACTTGTATATTATATTCATACATTACATACAAACTCATATATTTCAGATGTTTATTTTGTTTAATTTTGATGATTACAAATGACAACAAATGAAAATCTCAAATTCATCATATCAGAAAATTAGAATATTACTGAAGACCAATAAAAACAAAGGATTTATAGAAATGTTGGCCAACTGAAAAGTATGAACATGAAAAGTATGAGCATGTACAGCACTCAGTATTTAGTTGGGCCTCCTTTGGCCTGTATTACTGCAGCAATGCGGCGTGGCATGGAGTCGATCAGTCTGTGGCACTGCTCAGGTGTTATGATAGCCCAGGTTGCTCTAATAGTGGCTTTTAGCTCTTCTGAATTGTTGGGTCTGGTGTATTGCATCTTCTTCTTCACAATACCCCATAGATTTTCTATGGGGTTAAGGTCAGGAGAGTTTGCTGGCCAATTAAGAACAGGGATACCATGGTCCTTCAACCAGGTACTGGTAGCTTTGGCACTGTGTGCAGGTGCCAAGTCCTGTTGGAAAATGAAATCTGCATCTCCAAAAAGTTGGTCAGCTGCAGGAAGCATGAAGTGCTCTAAAACTTCCTGGTATGTGGCTGCGTTGACCCTGGACCTCAGAAAACACAATGGACCAAAACCAGCAGATGACATGGCACCCCAAACCATCACTGACTGTGGAAACTTTACACTGGACTTCAAGCAACGTGGATGAAGTGCCTCTCTTCTTTTCCTCCAGACTCTGGGACCTTGATTTCCAAAGGAAATGCAAAATTTACTTTCATCAGAGAACATGACTTTGGACCACTCACCAGCAGTCCAGTCCTGTTTCTCTTTAGCCCAGGCAAGACGCTTCTGACGCTGTCTGTGGTTCAAGAGTGGCTTGACACAAGGAATGCGACAGCAGAAACCCATGTCTTTCATACGTCTGTGTGTGGTGGTTCTTGAAGCACTCACTCCAGCTGCAGTCCACTCTTTGTGAATCTCCCCCACATTTTTGAATGGGTTTTGTTTCACAATCCTCTCCAGGGTGCGGTTATCTCTCTTGCTTGTACACTTTTTTCGACCACATCTTTTCCTTCCCTTCGCCTCTCTATTAATGTGCTTGGACACTGAGCTCTGTGAACAGCCAGCCTCTTTAGCGATGACCTTTTGTGTCTTGCCCTCCTTGTGCAAGGTGTCGATGGTCGTCTTTTGGACAACTGTCAAGTCAGCAGTCTTCCCCATGATTGTGTAGCCTATAGAACTAGACTGAAAGACCATTTAAAGGCTTTTGCAGGTGGTTTGAGTTAATTAGGTGATTAGAGTGTGGCACCAGGGGCCATCAATTTTGAACCTTTTCACAATATTCTAATTTTCTGATATGATGAATTTGAGATTTTCATTTGTTGTCATTTGTAATCATCAAAATTAAACAAAATAAACATCTGAAATATATGAGTTTGTATGTAATGTATGAATATAATATACAAGTTTCACTTTTTAAATGGAATTACTGAAATCAATCTACTTTTTCATGATATTCTAATTTTATGACCAGCACCTGTATCTCGGTAGCTCTGCTGCTTCAATCAACACCTTTGTTTATAGATGTTGGAGCAGGGCCTGTTTTTCAGTTGTCCTGTTTCTCTTTGAATCCCAGTGGGCCT